TCCTCGCCTCGTATCTTCCACCGGGATGATATCCTTCTTGTTTCAGCCGCGCTGCTGCTGCTGCCTTCCTGGATCTGCGCTCCTCGATGATGGAAACGCGGCTGCTGTTGTCGTGAAGATGCGCATTGCGCGCTCTATTCTGAGACCTGACCAGCTAAAGATCTTACGAAACTGAAAACTAAAAATCTAAAACTTCACAGAAACCATAAAAGTTGTTTCCGCGGTAAAGGAATAATAAAATAGAATAAATGGAATTTTTTGTATAATATACATAAACATATAAACAATCAAAATCAACAAAGTTGTATTTAATACATCAAATTATTATCTTATTATATTTAAGGATTTGACGACGATTTCACTTTCTTCAACTTCCGCGTTCAAGCCGGAGTTTAATTTTTCCACGGCATCGTTGGGGCCGATTTCTCGACAGAGTCGTGGCCGCGAAACAACGATCGGGCAACACACTCTCGGAAGAGAGAACCCGAAGAAGAATCGACGCGGAGGCCCTTCGTGCTCGTTTCTAATGGCTCGGGATTTCCTTACCGCACAAAAGCCCGCGAGGAGAGTGATCGTCGCGAGCTCCGCGAATAAATTACGTGGCAGCCTATGCGGCTGCATAAATTAATTTCAGCCGGTCTGCCCATAAATATTTCCCCCTTCGAAATCGCCTCGTCGCTCGTTCGCGCGCGCGCTCGTCTAAGCCTAAGCGTTACCGTACATTGTAATTTACATCACTCGCCCCCTAAGTGGCGCATTTAATGAATTTATACGCGCGTCGGTAATCCATAGACTCGCCTCCGAGTGTCGCGTTAAAAATGTCTCAGGGACGTTTTTATTTACCGCAGGAGAGATCTGGCGAAAAACTTTGACAAAATGTTCTTATAATATAATAGAATTGATTAATTCTCTAGAAATATCTAATCGATGATATGTAAGAATATAATAATATTATTTCATGATATTTTATTTTGCTCTGAGAAAAATATGTAGCGCATCCAACAAATTTTTATACTTTTTTCTTTTTTTATTGAGCCTTCTCTTTCGTTTGAAAATAAAATTCGTTGCATATCGTACGAAACTTCGTGGGGTGGCGCGATGCACGGCCATTGTTGCAATTCGGCAGATGCGAGGTAAGGCCGGTGGTGGGTTGCAATTCGCTTCGTGCTTGAATGCACCGTCATTACCGGCGCGTAATGATCGGCATTGTAACGATATTAAACTTATTATTCACCGTATATGGATAAACGGGAATCGCGCCAGAAGGTTAAAAATAGTGCACTCGGATCGTGGGTTTCGCGCTTTTCAGTGAACACACACGTCAGAACTTTGAGAAATTAAGATATAACATAAAAAATTTTTTTAATCGATTTGAAATTATGTAATTTTTGCTCGAATAATATTACGCATTTGCGTCGAGTCTAATTCTTCTTTTCTTAAAATATTTTTGTAGCATCATGAAGTGTCGTTATAGAGAAATTCTTTTTTAAGACAAAAAATGCTCTAGAACTAATCGCGTTTTTTATAACAAAAAAAATAATAATAATAACCTTTATATTTTTTTGTTACAGTTTTGCAAAAAAACAAGAGCGGCGGAGAAAAGAACATCGTTCTTTCATCCCGCGATCTATCTCCGAACGAAACCCGGAAAGATCGGCGCTGGATATGAACCGGTAATTATTTCAAAACGACCGTCCTTCGACCCGCTATTAGGTTTATCAACGATCGCGATGACAGATAAGATCGTCGATCTTCCTCTCTTTGTGCCCGATATATTTACCGGTGCAGTCGGGATAATATCCCCCTCGACGTTCTCTCTTCGTGCCTGAAAGAGAGCATCTGGCTTCTTCACGTGAGTAGAAGCTCCTTTTGTACTCAATTCTTTTCTTATCACGAAGACGATCACCCCTCGAGTGATTTCCTCGAATATAATATAATTGTAACGGAATCGCGCATGCGCGTTACGTTCTCGACGTTTTTATTTAAACGGGATCTTGTGTCTGTAATAATTAATTTGTACATTTGTTACGGAAAACACATCAATCTGAATTTTCTTCGTGAAAATCTATTACATCACATCAGACATTTATCTCGGCAAAAACAGAACGACAGGCAAATCGCACGTTTCCCTCAATCACTGATAAATCATCACCTCAACAAAACCGTAAATAAAAAAACTGTTCGGCGGAATAAAATTTTTCACGGTTTCTTTGCTTTTGATTTCTCATTCTTCCTCCCTTTCACGAGTTGTGTCCGCCAGCGAGGCGGAATAAGAGCAGTCGACGCATGCTCATCGGCCTGTTATAATTTCGGTTCTATTAGCCGCGCGCGACGGGGCCCTAAGCTGCTCCGAACGGATTTTTCGGAGATCGTAAAGTTAAGCGCGGACCCCACAGAGACGCGCTAGTAGTGCTTGTGTCTGAGTGTGTGCGTTTGTGCGCGGAACGGAACGGGGATGAAAGAAAAAGAGAGAGAAAGAGAGAGAGAGAGAGAGAGAGAGAGAGAGAGAGAAGCGCACGGGCCCTGAAGAGGGTCCGCAGAGTATACTGTCAAGTAGCATCTTGACACGGGGCTCACAATGGCTACTTGTTAGCGCGCTGCGCCAACAGCGAAGGGGAAAACGATCCCAGACACTTGCCTTTTTCACATCGCGCTCTTACGGATTGTCGTCTCGTTACGATTGCCCAACTGCAACGCGCCGATTTTCGAAACATATTCGACAAAAGTTCCATTTAGTAGTTTTTACTCGACGTTATTCCGACGTCTCGCGTTAAAATCAATTTTGACGAGTTTCTTCGCTGTATATGTATACACATATGACGTAAAAAAACACACACATATATATATATATATGTATATATTATGTAAAAAACAACTTCACAGATGTAAAAGTCCAATTAGCGAAATTACTTCAATGTTTTATTCGAAATAAAATTGTTTTGTAATTTTCGAGTCATTTAACGCCTTGATGTACGAAAATAATTTTTTAATGGAAATTTACATAAATCAAAATATGAATTTACACGTCATTGTTTTATTCTCTGTTGAAAACTACGAAGCTTTATTCTACTTTTAATGAAATATGGCTTTGTATTTCAGTGAAACGTATCTATTATTATTTATTACTACTCATTACAAATGTGCAAGATTCGGTTGTGATTGTTGTTCCGTGAATTTAGCTGTTTTTTTTCTCACTTAATTGTATATTAATACCCGGATGCTCTTACTTACCGTCTCGACTGATTCATCTAAAAGCAAAATAATTAACGGAAAGCACGGGATGCGGTAGAAGGACATGTGCGCGTGTGAACGCAGATAATATTGGCATCTTATTACTTTAAATAACATCAACTTTACTCGATTACAGTTCGATCGTACATCATGATCTCTTATGTCTACTTGCGCATCGTCGTCACATACATACACACACATATGCTCACATGTACAGTTCATTCACAAAGTACATACACACACACACATACCACATACGTCGTACTTGTAATCACACTCGTGTTCTTTCTCGGCAATTTGTCTTAGTTAGTTGTGCAACGTTAGGCTTGTCCGCTAAAATACACGAATGAGAACTGGAGAGGACCCAGAATGATGATCATTAATAAATCGTCCTTGCGACGCACGCGCGGTTTTCCTTTTCATTCATTCGCTCTTCATCTCGCGACTCTCTCTCTTTCTCTCTCTTTCTTCCGTTTCTTCTTATTCCTTTCGTAATAATATGCGCGAGGTTTTTTTTTTACGTGCGAGTGCGTAATTTAATTTGTGCAGGAGTCATCGTTATACGATTAAAACGTCTTGTTATATTTGTAGAAATTAATTTTTTAGCTTTGGTCGAATCGTAGCGTTCGTTTTTTTTTTTTGTACGAAATTTCATAGAGTTACGATTAAAGTTTTGCTCGGGAAGATTATTTCAGAAAGTCAAAGAAACTGGAAAAAACATCTCTTAAATAAAAAAAAAATAAAAAATAAAAACTAAATAAAAAAAAGACAAGAAACACACGTTTGAAAGTTTTCTGTTGTGCATCTTTTTATGTCACGTAGAGATGCCCTCAGATGACGATATTTCAAGTGCGAAAAAAATATAAAAACGCGATATCTGGTTCCAGCGTTTATATAAATATAATCTGCGTGGAAAAGCGTATGTTTATAGCCTGTGTGTGAGAAACTATAACATGAAAAACTGATTAAAAACTATTGCATTCTGTTGTGAACGCGTTACGTCGCAAAACATAAATCGCTAATTTTGTGATTTATTTATCGACAAACAAAATACGTAGCTATCTTTATACTTAATATAATTTAATAAAGACGCACGACTTAGAGCGAGATTGACTTTGAAAATTGAGCTTCGTTTTTTTTTTTTTTTTTTTTTGAAAAGACCGATTCTTAGCAATTTTGTGGTAAACAAAATCTATCACAATAATTTCAAGATTCCGTTCGCGAAATCTGTCTATCATGTTCAGATTCTGTGTCTAAACTAAATTCCGAATTTAGCTTGTGTATTTCTTGCAATTTTTTACATTAATACATTTCGAAGCAATTTTGAACGTAATTATATTAAACTGTTGTAACGATTACTAAATATATGATACGTGTGCAAAAAAATGCAAAATGAATATAACGCCGCCGCCGCCGCCAGTCGGTTCTGCCATGGATCGTGAAGAGATTATTTGTGTATATATTATTAATTTTCTATTACAATTAATCGCCACGTGTATCACTCTCTTCTTTCGTTTTCTACTCCGTTCTATCCCCTACCTTATTTCGTCCCAAGGACTTTCTCTCTCTCTCTCTCTCTCTCGTGAGAAAAAAATCCTTTCTCTCCTTCGGCGTCCTATGATAAAAATCTACAAGGCAATGTCGCAGCTATAACGGAATATTTGCGACATTCTGTATAACTCGCTTTTTTTATCACAAGAAAAAGAATAATAATAATAATATAACAGTTCATCTCGACTTTTCTACTTTTTTTCGTGTTTTCTCGTGTAATATATATATATATTTTTTATTTTTATCCCGCATTATATTTTCTCATTTTCGCTTACGTATTTATTTTAATTTTCCTCTCGCGCTGTGTCTTTAGATGTATTCTTTTTTTTATGTACAGACTACGAACTGCAAATAAAAATGACAACTTACGTACTACTCTTATGAAGCGATGAACTCACAGCCTACCGCAGTGTGTGTCCCGAACTTTCAAAACTCATCTATAACCGCGTTTAATAAATTCAAACGTCGTAAGCAAGATTATCTTATCAGAATAAATTTTCTTTTCTGTGTGTGCCATCGTTTGTAAAAATGTTAAATATAAACGAAAAGAGAAAGAGTTATTTTTAAATTAAGAGATTAGCAAAGAATCTATGCTTCGATAGTTTTTCTTTAAATAAATCTTTATCTATTATTTAATTACTTTTACGAAAACGCGTTATTCGATATACGCTTGTACTTCGAAGCAACAAATGATGGGATAATAACAATTCGAGAACACTCGGTAGGCAGCGAACGAAGACAAGATTAACTTACTAATAAAATTGTCGAATGCGTGTATTATACATATGTACATATATAGGACAACACAAAAGCGTACGATGTGAGAGGAGCGTATAATTAATTACGGCTAATTAATTATTGAGCTGATCGAATCTATTGAGTGAGAGGGGGAGGGGGGTGTGAGTCGCGTTCTCTTGCGTTTTCGTGCGCGATTTCGCGAAAAAAAAACAGATTCTCTTTGTTCGTACGGTTTGTTCTCGCGAGACGAGCAGGAGAAAAACGGAAGAAACGCAGCGCCAAGTATGCACGCTGTATGACGGAGCAGAAAAGCTGGCGGGAATTTCTTCCACCCCGGTGTTTACTTTATGGAAATAGTGGTAAACACACACACAAGCCGGTCTTGGCCGGCGCGTCGCAAAGAGTGTACGAACTTGAAAAGTAAAATGCTAATATGTCTTTTGCTATTTCTCTCTCTCGCTCTCTCTCTCTCAGAAACGTTGTTGCCGTCTCGGCGTCTTTTGATTTTCTCAAGAGTGAGATGTAACTTTTTTGGGAAACTATGCAGAGAGAATCTTCATATCTGATTGAAACCAATATTTGTTTTATTTCCAAGTTAAGAAATTTTAATCGAACGTAAAAGTCTCGTCTACAATAGTCGCACAGATTGTGTCGTAGGTCGTATAAGAATGTCGTAGAAATACTGTTTCCGGTCGTAAGATTGTCGCAAAAGTCCTTGTCGCACGAAGTTGAGCTAACTTCAACTTTCTGCGACAAGCGTGTCGCATGAGATCAGCAGATCATAGCACAGGAAGTTTGGCGACGAAGTAATTTGCGTATTGTTAGCTGAGTGTTACATTTTCTTGTGTATTTTTTTGTATTTCCTTATGTATTGTTTTTGTTTTAATTAAGAAAGATGAGTGATTCCTCGAACCAAAGAGCCATACCTATATCAATCATCCGACCAAAAAATGTGTGTAAAACAGAATTTAATCCTGTTGTTTGATTCGCCGAACAACTGACAGTGTAACAATACTAAGCTTAAAAAATTGAAAGCAAGAAACTGCAAGATTAATCATTTTCGCGGTCATCCATTGTGTTTGTACACAACGGAAATAATAAAGAACGTTTAAAAACCTTACACATTTTAACATTCTATCTTTTGATTAGCTGTCGCAGCCAATCTTTGCGACTGTTGTAGATGTTCATCTAACGACACTCTTACACGACATGCGACACAGCCTGTGCGACTGTTGTAGACGAGTTTAATTTAAAATAAGATACAGCGAGACTAAAGCTTTGGAGACAAGTTGGGGCTTGCAAATATCTCAATAATCGAAATGCGTATGAACATGTTGATGTCTGCGTGACAAAGCGTAGAGACGGAGACTATAATACATATACGCCGTCTATGTCCGATTGTTAACAGACATGAACGTTTCGTTAACTTATTAAGTTAATCGAAGATGGTGGAAACAAACATCAGATACTTATATATAATTCTTAGATATTTATATTTTTGTCTCTCAACTTACTTTCGTTCTCTCGTGGCTCAACATGTTTCATAAGTAGAATATTTTAAGTCACTCTGACTTTTCATTCAACATTTTTATCTATTTTCGTATATTTTAAAGGTTTATGAGTGTTTACTTATTGAGTTAGATAAATATGTCTTTTAAAACTATTGCCAGTAGTTTATCATAATAAGATGTAAAAATTTATAACAGTTTGAATAAAAATTGGCCCGTTATAGTTGAATAACTAGTCCCGCTCTATCTTATTATTTTTGTTTTAAATCAAAATATTACTCGATCAAAAAATAAGAGACACATTTTTCAATGGGAATATAAATTATTGAAAACACCGAGAGCGACAGACGACAGTTTGACAGACTATTTGACGCTCTTCATACGCTCTGAACACCCACCGAGAAAAGCTCCAGGGAGATGAAACGTTGCATACGTGGAGACTCTTTCTTATTTGTGTGAACATTAAAATGAATCGTCAAGAAATTATTATCGCGATGAAAAAAGGATCCTAGGGCAGATATTTTTTGTTTTTTTGTAATGTTGATTTATTTTTCGAACATTCAATGAATCTTTTTTCTCTTCAAAAGAATGATAATTAATTGACGATCCAGATTTCGGCAAACGGTTCGAATACCTTAATCGATCGAAACGTTTCGCACGTCGCCGGCAATGCATATTTAAGTCTTCTCTTGGCTCCTCTTGCTCTGAGTGCTTGGGGCCCAAGGTCACAAGGAATGGTACTCGCCCAGCACGAGACCACTATGGTAACCCGCATGCGACGTCGACATCCCCATTGAACCCATGCTCTGATACGCGCCCATGCTCATGCCGTTCATCGACATGGTGTTCATGGTGTTGACGCTCTGCATAGTGTTGGACAGCATCGTCGAGGGCCCCATCGGGCTGAGTCCGCCCATCGAGGGCGCGATCGCCCCCATCTGCATCGACGTCGCCGTGTGCGGCAACGACTTCTGCAAATCCGCAGAAGTCGGCGTGCCGATTAAGTAATCCTGTCACAGAAAATGGCGATCTGCGTGTTTTTCTATCTGCCATTTTTCTTCCCAAGAATAAATTTCAGTCTCTGGGAATTTATTTTCAGAATTTTCTCTATGTATGTATCAATATTTATGTCTTGAATTCGTTTTACAATTTTGATTCAAACACTCTGTAGCAGGAATAAGGTTTTTGAACAAACCCGTTTGAAAAATTTAAAAAACTACAATAATAGTAAAAATGGAACTGTACCTGTGGACTGTAGTATTGCATGTAATCCAACTGACTCTTTTGTTGGGCGCAGCTGGGTGGTGGTGGTGGCAGCGTTGCCGTGGGATGAACCAGTCCGTGGGCGCCGTGAGCGCCTACCTGGTGATGATGTTGCAGCTGGAGATGAAGGTTTCTCTTGCTGTCGCCGCTCTCGCTGCTTGCGTCGTGGTGCTGCATATGCGGATGGCTCAGAGACGAACCGTGTCCTTGATGGTACGAGTGCGGGCTCGGAACTGAGACCGGGGGCGGCAATTGATATATGCCGGAAGTCTGCTGATGGTCCACCATCTGTTGCTGCTGTTGCTGTTGCTGCTGGACTGCGCACGAGGACGGTTGCTGCGGTTGCTGCTGCTGCTGCTGCTGACCGGCGGACTGCCGCTTGGTCTCGTCTCCGCTCTCGCTGCTGGAATCCCCGAGACCCCCGCCGTGAGTTTTATCCTCCCTCTGGCCGCTGAAACCGCAAAGCAACCTTTCAAAAAAAAAAAAAAAAAACAAACAAACAGAAAAAAAACAAACAAAAAAAACAACGGCTTCCCTTTCCGTCGAGATTTACGTAGGAGAAGTTCGCGAGAAGCGAAACACACTGTACACGAAAACCGGCTCGAAGCAAACTGTTATGTTAACTGCGCGCTCTTATCACACGCCATGTATATATTTTTATGGTAATTGCGCATATCGTCCAATATAATCTTTACGCGCACTTTGTCTTTTCTTCCTGTTTTCCTTTAATTTTTGTCAAACCCTGTATACCGTGCAAAACAATTGATCCTTTGATAAAACAAAAAAGAGATAGAATGCTGTAAAAATTAAAAGTTCTTTGATTATATATCCGAAGAGTAGTTCTGTCCTATCGATAGATAAAAATATATCGATCCGCGTGTAATTAAAGCGAATCTTTCTAAAAAGACATAATCTTCGTCATCCCGTTATATAAAGACGTCCCCGGGGGTGCGCGATTAAGCGTCGCGTTAAGGCGCATCACAAGGCGCGATAAAACCAGCGACGCCGATCGGCGCGAGGCTGGGGAATCGAAATAATATCGCCTAAGATAATACCGGTACTGGCGCGTAAAGTACCGAGAAGATGGTACATCCTGCCGTACTTGTGAATTAAGGGCGGATACACGCCGAGAGTGCGCAAGAAGTGGAGACCAGGTGAGGGCTAAAGAGACGAGCAGCAAAAAGGCTCGAAAGGGAAAAGAGATGAAAAAGAGAGAGAGAGAGAGAGAGAGAGAGAGAGAGAGAGAGAGAGAAAGAGACAGAGAAGGAGAAAGGGAGCGAGAGGATGCGAGAGAGACGCTTTTGGCGTCTCGTAAACTCAATTTAGCGGCCTGGACCTCCTCGAAGCACGTGGGATCCACGGGGCCCACGGCCAAGCCTCCCTCCACTCCCTTCGTTTACCTCTTTTTCTTTCCCCTCCTCTCTTTTTAACCGATCGCTTCCTCTCTTTGCCCGTTCTCTCGCTCGTGAACACCAGCAATCGTTAAGCGCTTGTTTTACAAGTCGTTTAGACGTGAGACTGGCGATACCGCGTTTGAGGCAAGTGCTACGACACTTGTCTACGGGGTGTTTTCGAGAACCGGTCTTTCGTAAGCAAGATAAGGAAACTATCGTGTGATAAGGCGACAGAAGACGCCTGGTCATTTCCGATTGTCGCGATTTAGGAGGAAAAGTTAAAAGCGACGCGATAAGAGCGACAATTCACAAAATATTATTTGTAAGTGTTTTTAATAAGCGCGTTTGAATCGTTTTGCAAATTATCGGAAAGAGATAAAATAAAACTTTTTCATCATTTATCCAAATATTAAAATAAATATTTTCACTTTGATAGTATAGAATATATTATTCGGTTTACTACTACGAAATATAGACAGATTAATTCGATAGATTGATTTGAGATAAGTCGAAAGAAATCTAAATTATTTCTTTGAATTTTTACTTCTAAATATGCACAAAACTTATCCTTGTCCACAAGAAATAGATATCTTCTTATGTCTGACGTATGGAAAATCAAGTTCGTTTAAAAATTAAAATAACAACGTTTTTTTCCAATAATTCTTCAAATAGTAGAGACCAAATCTTTTCAGCAGCAAAAACGTTTTTTATTTTGAAATATATTTTTTACACGTGAGAAGTAACGGAAAACCAAACGCTTTCTTGACTTCTTCGCGAGACTGCTTTTTCAATTCTATTCGCATCAAAATTTGCGCGGTATGTGAGAGATATGTCATTATCCTTCGTTTTCTGTATTATCGCAAAAAGTAAGTCGCAATTCGAGTGTCTGTCATACACTGATTTTCTCTCGTGCCACCCGTTACATGATGGAACCTACATAACCGGACACACCGGAGGTGTCTCACAGGTATGCCTTATCCGTCGGTGGATCGCACAATAAATTTGTCTCGCGTTGCACCACGAAAGAAGGGAATCTTTCGGGCATTATTATTTTCATTAGGATTTGTGACTCATAGCGCGCGACGGACATTTATTTCGAATCCCTGTATAGGTGTATGACACCTATACTCTCTCTCTCTCTCTGTCCGCATCGGCGCTTGTCTTTCTTTTTCCTCTCATTTTTCTTTTCCTGAAACCACGTGGATAGAAAAGAGGAAAGAAAGAGAGAGAGAAAACACGTCCCTTGAACGCTCGGACCTAAACTCGTCGCCCCGCGGAGATAAGTAATAATTATCTCCGTACATACAATTTATCATCCAAATGTTTTCTCGCGCGAGCCTTTTCAATCGCATCATCTCTGTTTGGTCTTTTCTTAGTGTAGCGACGAACACTGATGTGCCAATTTTAATCAGATATAAAATAATTTGTAAATACTAAAATTTTATTACGTAAAATATTGCAACATACGAGGCAATATGTTCGCGCAAGTATTTGATATTGCGCGTTAAAACATTAAGGTAGAGTTTTCATTTTTTAAGAATTCCGTTTGCGTCGAGATCAACGTCAAGGATTATAAAAAATGCTAGGAATACAAAGAGATTCTATCTGGCGGATACGTGCGTCGCTGTTGTCTCATGAAAAAGTGGATGAATCGATCTCGACGATTGTCACACGCACATACACACACACACACACACACGCACGGAATTTCGAAGTAAATCTTATTTACGAACTAGTCGATTAATAAAACTAGTCGCGCGCCTTCCCGCCCGATCATTATCTTCCTCTCGCGTTAAAACAGACACGGCCGCGTCGTAAAATCGAGAACGCTAACTTCGAGACTACCATGTTTTAAAACAACAACTAAATTTCATGGTGAATTTAAATTATTTGAATTAAATAGTTTTTATTACTGTTCGCTAATTAAATGTCCGGATTAACGTATGTTTTATCTAATTAAAACGTACAATCATCTCTGAATAAACAAGTTTTTGAATGTAATTCCAAAAGTGAACGTGTGTGTGTATGCGTGTCACTTTTTCAAAAAAAAAAAGTTTCCGTCATGTAAATTTTTTGGATACGATTGGGAAATAACGCGATGTTGTCGTCGATCTAGCAAATTACGCCGGCGCGTCGAGCCTTCGCAAGCGAAGAGCGCCTTTAATTGGATGGCGCGAATAACGCATAAATAAACCGGAGGAAACGCGACGCCGGCGCAGCTTCATTCACGGCGGTCTCGACTTCGGTGAGGCGCTTCATCGTCGTCGTCGTCGTCGTGTATGTTGCTATGTAGGGCGTCGTCTCTCTCCGTGTATTAGCATAATTCCTAATTTAATTTCTCGATAAATTCCCGATCGTCGCACACGCACGAAGTGAGATGCTATCGCGACCCCCGCTAATTCGCGTCTAAGTTTATATCGCCCCGGGACCCGGCACGGAGTACCCCGATACCATCTCTCCCGTTTTCCTTCCCTCGCGTCTCTTCTCTCTCACACTCTTTCTCTCCATGAGCCAGAGGCCCACCTCGTAAAATCGGATTATATCGGTTCTGTCGCCCCTGCGCGATGTCGCGCGCTTTATTCCGCTCTCCGCGATATCGTCTCGCATGTCTCGAAGCGAAGTTGTTCGACCAGGGGTCAAAGTGTGCGAGTTTCTCTCTCTCTCTCTCTCTGTGCTTTTCCGTCGAAAGAACGTGGACAAATAGACCACACTTGGATGTCTCACGAGAGACAAATATAATTGGGCAAAGGGAAAATTTCACGGGTCTGCGGTCGGTTCAATTTGATCTTAGAATTTATTTTTCGCATTCCGATCCGCGCAACCCGCGCGCTTGAGGTTGAAGAGAGACCTCGTCGAACGCCTTCGGGATTACTTAGCTCACTGAAGAAGGCAGAAAGGCAAACTCCGGGATCCCGGGTAGAGCAAATTGAAAATCGGCCGTGGCTCGTTTGTCGGCTGCCCGCGCGGAAAGAGAAATAGAAAAAAAGCAACAGATTTTCTCCCGCGAGGAGCCTTCTCTCCTGTCTCTCTCTCGAGAGAAGAGACTGTATGCGGATGCATCCTCGACTCACTCCTCGCGCACGGCAGGTGAACGTCGAGGAAGTTACTGGCAGCTGATTCCATAAACAGATAGGGAACGAGAGTTTCCACGGTCTAAAATAATGGGGGTGCAACGCACCGTGTATACACATCGCCGTGTACGAGCCTCGCTTGTTTGTAAACTCCGCGCCTTTCGCCTGCGGGCCTTTACCTGCGGGACCTCCTGAGTCCTGTGAAAACGTCCCGGCGAATTTCTCGCGCCTAGATACAAGAATCATCAGCGTAAAAACCATCAATCCGAGAAAATTTACGAGAATTATTACCGAAATAGTTTTGACCGCTTTTCAGCTCGCTATTGCTTTTACCGATTAAATCATAAATTCATCTGGTCGATCCTTAAGAGGATACTGGATACCGACTATAGAGACCTGTAAATCGACGTTTTATTAATATTTGATTTTGTGTCGTATTTACTGCATTAAATCCAAAATGCTTCTTCAAAAATAAGTAAATTGCGCTAAGAAAGTGCGCTTGTTCTTTAGAATGTCAAAATTCAGCATAAATGTTTTCTTACACAGTTTTCTTCTCTATAACCTCACTATATATTCATATATAGAATTATTTCTAAGCGCTTCTTGTACGTATTTACACTGAAGTGGCGCACCAAGTACGACAAAAAAGAACATAATGAGACACTCAGGTTATGATTTGACTATCTAATTGATGAGAGAAATAAAAATATTGTGATGGCAGAATAGGTTGTGTCGTATGCTATCATTATGAATAAAAAAAAAGAGTTCGAAAAAAGCAATATATATTCATTTCCAAAAGCACTATGTAGTTTTTTATATTTATTTGCTTCTGTAGAAGCATTTTTCATGTGATGCATTACACAAAATTAGAAATTAAAGAAATTTAGGTTTCTAAAACGTCGATTTACAAGTCTCTATAGTCGGTATCCACACAAGTACCCTCTTAAGTCTCTACAAATATGTAAAGTCGCGTATAATAAATCTTT